AGACAGATTATAAAGAATACAATTTTTGTAATAGTATGAATTTCAGATTTTTCGAAATAAGAAGTTCCATGTATTTTTTCTTTGTCTGACTAAGAATACTTTAAGTGGCGTTTAAGATAATATTTGTCTTTTTTAGGAATGGCAGCACGTATGGAGCCTTCCAGTCGAAGGACCCAATCTTGGCGGTCGAAAAAGGCGCCGAGATGACAGGAGGAACCAACGAGCATGGAATTTCCGTTCACCATCCAACCTCGTAAGTTCACTTACCTTAACGACCTCATTTTTTTTGTTCTCTCGTTTAAGGACTTCTGATCAGTTAAAAACAAAATGTTCAATGGCCTCAATTTTCATAACTTATAAAACGAAACAATTTCTTTACTTGTGTGCGTGATTCATTTTTTTTTGTGTAGACGTGTTGCATGGCCGCAAGATACACGCAGGTTCCGCTTTTGCGGTTTTGGTTTGCGCACTGCTGGCCAGCAATCACTTATGACTATCTACGTGCACACGAACATTATTTTTATCTGTTCATGAAATCGCGAGAAGTAACTTGCTTCACGTAATTACGTTCCACTCGTTTTTCTTACGACTTGACCTAATTTTTAACTGGAAAATCGTATTTCCTTGCTTATTCTTACAATCCTATAACGGAGCGTGTATTCAGAGAATCTCGTAATTAGTGGTCATTTGAGTAACAATAGATGGGTTTGTTCCTTCCAAACGCTATAAGTCATTAAAAAAATTCTCACGTACCTACTAAGTTACGTTTGATGAAATTATTCTACGCAAAAAGAGGAAGGAAACAGCTTATCATTTGTAATAGTAGTCCCGTGACATTCCCAGACGTTATCGTTTTCCAAGAACACATTTTCGCGCGGTTCTGGCTAGTTCTTATACGTACAGCAACAGGATAATAATAAGGATTAATGAGTTTTGACGAAACAAGGAAAACATAGCGTTTAGTTAAATTTAGAATTCCGCTAAACATATATTACCCATGTAGTCAATTTATAGCAAAGCGACTACTAAACACTGGATCACAAAATGCAGATGTTTTGCACTTTTTGAATGCTCGTCTTTACGTAGCACGTCGTATTTGGAGATCACTGCTGATTCAAGGATCGTCACCTTGCAAGCAATTTATGTGAACCTTAATAACAATAAATGTCTCAGATGAATATTTATTTTATCGTTAAAACGAATGAAATACACATCCAGCTCTTTATATTCTGCATAGTTTTCTATGTTACACACAGCATTTACAATTTTTGCACATTCCGTTTACTTATAAAATCAGCTGTCGACTCATGACGGCGAGGAAAGTCTATCTGGGTAGTTGCGGACAATTAAAATGCAGAAGATTGCGTGTCACATAAATGTACATTGGATTTAAGTTATCAATCTTGTTATTATGACTACACACAAATGTTTTTGAATCATGTGTTTCATTCACTGAAGGATGTTTAAGAGAATGCCATAGATAAAGTATTCGTTACTCATTAGTATGCCACCATCGAGATAAAGAGATGCGCTGAATGTTTAATGAGTCAGTCAGTTCCGCGGTTTTGATTGTGGTTGCTAGGTTGTTTCAATACCTATGTCAATACTACTTTATATTCGCATAGCATTGTCAATGCTATTGACACTGAATGCCTTCAGAAAAGATCTTACAAGCATATTTAACATGGATTCAGTTGAATGTTTTAATAAGAAGAATGAAGTATTCAATCATTATTCATTCGAGTTGTTAATTTAGAAACTGACAAAAATTCTGATTAAGTTCTGCAGAATTAAAATCTGTTATTCCTTTTTCTTTCACTCCCACGTGGCCACACGTATTAAATCATTCCCAGCAACTTGAATATGCATTTGACCTCTGATTAGTGTTTCCTCTCAACAAGCTGAACAAAATTGCCCACTCTTTTAATTGCTGCGCTATTGTTGGCGTAGACACGTTAGTTTTCTCTTTCGACCGACTCGTGCACGTTGATCACGTGCCAGGGTAATTTCCTTAATTTGCCAGGAACGCGCAGAATTAATGCAAATCACGACGTGAGACAGTTTATGTGTAAGGAAGTGAACGATGAGTACGACAATGACGCGAAAGCGTAATCACCGTGGGTGGCTGAGAAAGTTTTGAATTAAATCCTCTTTGGCTGATCCTCTTAAAAGGCGCGATAGTAAAGCCGTTTTCGAACCGAATTCGGGATATCCATAATGCATTACACTGATTAAGGATGTATTGGCTACACAGTCTATCCCAAAAGTAAATAATTTTGGTTCATGATATTTGCTAGCTTTCTAAGACTTGATCCGTTTTTTTATTTTTCTACTCCTAATAAATAAAAAAAAAAACAAATTTTTCAAATAGGACCCTTGTGGAGGTAATTTTGCTTGTTATATACATGTAGTAGTTCCATTTTAAATGACTATCAATTTGTTTCCCCAAGCATTTTATAAATTCTACTCTCTTGATTGGATCCAGATTAATAAGTAACATCAGATTCTGCTTACAAATCGCGAGAGTCGAATCTTGAAATAAATATGTTGGCATAGTCCTCATTGGTCCACGTAACTTCCACATTTAACTCTTCGTTTAAGGAATCGTGACATATTAATAGTATTTTAATCGATTGCACCATTTACGTGTTTCATCGAAACGTCCTTCGTTAAACTTCCGCACTGACGATTGTGTAAAAACAGTTAAAGACTGCACTGTCTTTATTTTTACTGAGATTTTAAGATTACTTTTTTATGAATGATGCAAAACGAAATTACTTTGCTTATTTTATTTGCTGTTTGTGCTCGTTAACGTTATTTGAAAAATTAGCGATATTTGTAATGCGCGTTTGAATGAGGTTTTTCAAGTCACACGACATAGCCACGGGTACAGTTCGACCGTTTTCAAACTCGGTCGGTCGGTTCATTCGCCGGTGATTTTAAATTAGCTCGCGTGACGGGACACGGGAATGCTTGGGAATATTTATATATACACACACACACAATTCATTTTTGTTAATGTCAAATTGAATTGTTCTTTCAGTGAAAAAAAAATAAATTATATAAAATTGTGCAGTCATTTTGTTTATATTATTGGTAGACTGTGGATTTTATGTATTTATAGCAAAATTGAGTATGTAAAAAACGTAAAAAATACATATATATATAGTGGACAGAAGTGTATAAAGTGCCAACGAATAAAACGCATAGCGTGATGTTTCAATAGACATTCGTATCAATTCTTAAATTGACAAGTTTTACTTTGCATAAAAATCCGCAGTCTAATTACTGGAATATGCTTAACATGCATATCGAATGTATTGTTTTATGTAACGCAGAATATTATTTATGTAAAATGACTAATTGCAGGTATTTAGAAACAATGATGCACCTGTTCAAAGGTAACGTCGGCTCGGGTATCTTTGCGCTAGGGGATGCTTTCAAGCATGCTGGGTTGCTGCTGGCTCCACCGCTTACGATATTCCTGGGGGTTATTTGTGTTCATGCTCAGCACATACTTGTACGTAAAATCAATCTCTTTCTCCTTAATAAACATTAACAATCTCATCGATTCGCGTTTGTTAACTAAGTGATTATGTAGATAATTAGATAATACACAATAATTTTATGTATACTACGCAGACATAAATTGCATTTCTCAAGCATTTAACATGACGTTAAACTGTTGTTAATTCATTATACAAATTTGTTAGATTTCAATTTTTGTTTTAAATAATTAAATATATTTTTATTACGGATTGAGAACGTGTGGAAATTTGTATTTGTTAATGTATGTATAAATAAGTATAGATATTGTTGGGTGCTCGCAGGTAAGGTGTAACGAAGAGGTGACGCGTCGCGTTAATGATCCGAGTGCTACGACCGGATTCGCTGGTACCGTGGAATTGTGCTTTGCCACAGGTCCTCTCTCACTCCGAAAATACTCCGTGTTTATGAGGTACGTATACTTACCGTACGTATAACAAGAACAAACTGAAATAGGGCACCATCGCCTGTTTGCTTTCATTTCAAATTCTCTTTAAACAAAGCTACTTATGCTTCTCTTTATTAAATTAATTTCAATCGTTCCGATCGTGTTACCTCGTTACACTGATTTATGACAGCCACCACTTTGTTGCAGACAATTGGTTAATGTATTTTTATGTATCACGCAACTCGGATTTTGCTGCGTTTATTTCGTTTTCATTGCGAAGAATATGAAGCAGGTGAGTCCTTTCACTGTTCATTTACTTTTTTAATTAATGTGGCCCTATTAAAATTTTGAAGTCAAGTGAATGTACATACAAAAAATTTCCAAAGTTTTAGTTTAACATACATTGCTATAGTTTATAAAATGAAATTATGATTAAAAAAAGAATTAATACAGTGATATTCATATAGTTCAGTGCTAAAGTACAATCTTTTGAGCTTCAGTATTTTAAAAATTTGTTCGGTAACTTAGATATTTAACCGTACCGATGTGTTCTTTACGATTTGAAGAATAATATACCAGAATTTAATTATGATCTGTAATGTCTTGCAATATATTAGAAAGAATTTTTTTACTGTAAACCACGTGCGTGTCGATTAATTATTGATCGATTATAGGTGTTGGACGTGTACGGGATCGAGATGAGTTATCATCAACACATGGCTGTGATCCTGATCCCTATAATGCTGAGCACGTGGATCAGAAACCTGAAGTACCTGGTACCAATCTCGTCGATGGCGAACTTTTTGGTCATCGCTGGCTACGTCGCCACCATGTATATAATGTGCCACGATCTGCCGCCGATCTACGAGAGGCGGTACATAGCCGATTGGCACGAGCTGCCGCTGTTCTTTGGCACCGTGATATACTCTTTCGAGGGTATCACTTTGGTAAGTTCACGCATGCTTCTCGGCGTTTATGTAACGCGTTATAAATTTGGCGACAGGCTCCTAAAACTAGCGCCTTCTACTAGCGTTGCATGAGCGTAACGTAACATCTCTGTGACACGGAGAAATGGTGATCGTAGGTCAGAAAGCGTTATGACGTTTGAAGAGAAGAGTGAAATAACTCTCTTACACTGGCGACTATACGTCGGAAAATTTTATAATAAAGTCGCGTTAAATGCAAATCTCTCGGATCTAATAATAATAAACGAGACACGATTCTTATCTTTTATGTACTAGACCGAATGTAGGACTGGACAGCAACCGAAAAGAGAGAGAAAGATAGATCGGTCCAAGTAGCTGACAACGATATATCGATTTGCGGGTTTTTATGCAGGATCAAACATTTATGATATTAGTTTAAAAAATACTTCAAACAAAATATATATTTAACTTTCGATATTCTATATAATTTCACACAGTATTACACTAAGCTGTGATTGTTAAAACTGATGGAGAGTTTACTTTGTTGTCCTGTTATTTTAGAAATGTATTCAATGGGACTTCTTTGTTGGGTTACAGGTTTTACCTTTGAAAAATGAAATGAAGAAACCGAGCAATTTCAATAAGCCACTGGGAGTCTTAAATGTCGGGATGGTAATCGTTGGTGGGATGTTCGTTGCATTGGGATTTATATCATATTTAAAGTACGGCGACGCAGTGGCGGGATCCGTTACGTTGAATCTCGAGTCGACGGAGGTGTAAGTATAAAATTTACTCTCGTAAATTAGATTTAATAAATAATAAATGTTAAAAATCGTAAGAATCTTTCTTGAACGTGCTTCATGTTAAGGTAGTTGTTGCCTAAATCAAAAGTATTGAAAATTGTTTACTTAAGTGTATGACATATTATATGTACACATGTATGTAACTCTATTGTTGGTCCACTTTATAGGCGCCGAAAATAGTCTTTTTTAGGCAGGTGTTATAACAAATTAATATAAGTACCAAAAAATATGTTGCAAAACCCTGGATTGATTGATCATCTTGCTTTCGTGATATTGTCAGGCAGAATTCGCAAATTTAATTACGCTTGAACACTGAAGTAATATCGAGAAAAATATCTTTCTTCGTCTATTGCAATTGTTTATTATATATGATAATGATAAATACTTGAAAAATATGACGGGGATGTGATGTGGATTTTGAATACAGAAAAAGTCTTCTATTTTTAACTGTTTATTTTTAAGCTTTATTTTGATTAATGCAATAGAGCAACAATTACCTTAATCACTTCTTGGAATTAAATCTATAAATTTATTATTAAATGTGAAATTTTGTAAAAAATCAAGTACCTTGCAAGGATGGTAATTACTTTGCAAGAATTGGTGAGACGATTTTACAATCGATTATTATGCGTCCAGGTGATACATAAAAAGCATCAAAATTCTATCGAACAGAACGATTGCGAAAAAGTTGCGAGACGAAACAAAAATAAAAGCACACACACATTATTAAGAAAATACTGTTATGTACCGTACTTTTTTGTTACATACGAAGGGTGGATGGAAACAACGTCAGCTATTCAAGGTTTCTATGATCACATGGGTGTTGTTTCTTAAAAAACAGTTTTCTGATGTCGTTTCATTAACACGCAATAATAATTATATTATCATTGTCATTTCAGATTTTTTTTACCATGGTTTTGCCTATACATATGCATGTTGCAAGATAGTATTTAACATTAGCCGCTAGTTTTAGGTGGTGGACATGTCTTTCGCGTATAACAGCGAATCGCCTGACAGCACCGTCATCGGATATTCACTACATTTCTTTCTGTTACAGATTGCCTCAGTGTATAAAAGTCGCCATCTCGTTGAGTATACTGCTCACGTATGCACTGCAATTTTACGTACCCATCGCGATCATTTGGCCCAAGATCGTCAATGGTTTCGGCCCTTTCAAATGGCCCGTCCTCTCAGAGACCATCTTCCGCTCCGCGATGTGTCTGCTGACATGTAAGCGCATCCCATTCATTCGTAACGTGTTCTTTTTATGCACAATCGAACTTTAGTAGTATTAATTTAAAACGTGAAATCCATGAAATTCAGTAAACATTTTATGCCTACAATCATTCATTTTGCTATTGACATTGCATATTCTTCTTGGTCAACTATACATTATTTATATTCAAAGTATTCCAGAATAAGTTTTAGAGCCGAGAAGGGGACACTCTGTACGTGTTGCTCAACAACAATTTCTTTTGACAAAGTGAGGCATGGTTTTTTAATTATTAATGAAAAGCCATTGATCAACGAGAGCACGTGTAAGGTCCACGCTGAGCTACGGCCAAGCTTTACGAGCCAATGGCAGGGATCTCAAAATTTATTCCGCACGGCTCGCTTCCCCTCTTTTTCGCCCGTATTTCGATCCCCACTACTATTGTCCTCATGCGCCTTCGCTGACCATGCCTAGCATACCTCCATCAAGTACCTATAGTCTTCACCATTGTCGCGTCGTCCCCACTTTCCGGCCGAGAGATAAATTATGAGATTCCTGGCCAATGGTGCTCGGTGGAGCGCGTGCCCTACACATGCTCCCATTGGTGAGTGTATCTCGTTAATAATTAAAAAACCATGCTTCATTTTTCATGTTGCTAAAGGAAATTGTTATTCAAGAACACTTACAGGTGTACCTCTCTTCGGATCCAATACTTTCTCTGGAACACCCTACATAAATTGTATATAAAATGTTTTCTATTTATTACGTATAGTATAAAACCTGTTAATAAAATAACATATTCAACTTTTTTAGATCTATTATTTTTAAGAATCTTTCGTTTCGTTAAAGTTAACGATTTTTAATTCTTAATCCAATTAAGTGCTTTAAATTTGTTGTAGTTATCCTGGCCGAGGCGATACCGCAGCTGGGCCTGTTCATATCGTTGGTTGGAGCGGTTAGTAGCACTGCCCTCGCCTTGATATTCCCACCGATCATCGAGATGGTCGTGTGCTGGCAGAACGCGTCGCTGAGCATGTTCACAATATCAAAAGACATTCTGATAGTGCTGATCGGTTTACTGGGCTTCGTTACGGGGACGTACGAGAGCATTACGTCGATCATCCAAGCGTTCAGCACGTAATTAGGATAATCCTAGTTCGTTTGTACAGATATCAGTTATTTATTGTGGGGTAACTATTACTTGATGACAAAAATTTAAAAAGTGTATACAAAATGTTTCCGAGTATGCCTCAATTATTGTCAAACCATTAAGAATCGGGAATGTTTAAAAAAAAATAATGGCTTGATGGAGAATTCGAACCCCAGTCAAAAGAGGATAGCAGCCAGTCACTTGTCCGGCTCGGCCAACCGACGACTTGACAACGTCGTAGCTGCAACAGAATATAACAGACAGAACACACATCCAATCCATTTAACTTTATTTTTTCAATTTATGCATAATGTTGTTGTGTACAAAAGTACTTAACAAAAAGGAATACAACTACTGAGGGAAGGAAATGTAAAAATTCGAATCATAAAGAATTTTATCGCGCGAAAAACGTCGAAAAAATCGGTTTTTAATTTTTTTAACTACGGCGCACCTCACCGAAAAATCTGAAAAAAATAGGGTATAATAGTTGAGTTGAGACACGTCTACCATAAAAATATAAATGATGTCGCTCGAAAACTTCTATATGAAATGAGCATTTTTTTATGCATTTTTGGCATTTTTTATTTTTCACGATCCAACTACGCAACGAAAAAAATCTGAAAAAATTCCCTAATATCGAGTACAGTCCCGCGAACATGTGAGAATTTTTTCAGATTTTTTGCTAAACATTTAGTAGGAAAAATATGTCAAAAACGCTAAAATTGTTTAACTCCCATAACTACCCTCCAGATTGAGATAGAGGGTTGAAAATTGGCATGGGACGTTTTTTTTGGACACTCTATCGAATGGCTCATTGCAAGTTGAATTTCGTTCAAGGGCACATTTTACCATCTTATCCGGCTAGACCCTTTCTTCGTCATCTGTGATCTGTCCTTTTATGTCGATGTCTTCGGTTCTGCGAACAGGGTAAATTGTTGATAAAATTGCGGTTACCAGTGTTCTATCCATCTGATATGCTGTTATAATCATAATTCTGTAGTCGAATGGCTAAATGTGATACACATCTGATGTAATTCAGGCTATAGTGATTAATAAAATCTTTTTCTTCTTCTTTTTTAAAAAACTGCTTCCTTTTCTTCGTTCAAATCAGAAATATCTACGCGTTGCCATCTGATTACAGAATTGTGCCGACGCTTCAGGTAAACATTTTTATTCTACATTTTGGGAAAACATTTTAATTGATAACCGCAATCGAATCGCATAGTATCGTATCGCTTGTATTATATCATTGCCTATACTTTTAATTATCAGTGTTAGTCGTTTGTGAACCTGAACGCGTAAACTTAGGATTCATGTACAGTGGCTCCCGTATAATATTTATACCCATTTCTGAAACTGAATAACTTTTTTAATATTGAACGAAACGACTTAATATATTTATTAATAACAAAACATGTCATGTAGCAAAGTTGCAAGCTGTACAGCAACGAACTTATTAGAAATGCAAGAAGCGAAATGTTTCATAGTATAATGTAATACATTTTTTCTATTCTACCGGGTGGTCCACTTACTCCAAAATGAAATTCTTAGTTTCTTTCAAATTTTGGATCTGCGTTTAATATTGTAATAATTACTTATTTGCAACACATGTAGACATACACACGTCACAATCATGTGTTACTATTTTAACTTATAGTCAGAACAGTTTTACATGTTGTACAATAAACTTAGGGCCAAGCTGCGACAAACTTAATCAACGATTAAGCGTTGCCAGCAGGAACATCTTAACTGCATGTAGTTCTTAAAGTAGAGATCAATTGTAATATATGTGTTACAATTTAACACGTGATATATATCTAAAAAGTTAGTAAGTTTCAGATTATATCATAACGTTTAAAAATACATTTAGTTAGAAATAACGTATTTTTTATTAGCTACATTTAATTGTTGATTAAGTTAATCGCAGTTTAGTGAAAGTAACTGTAGGCCTTCTAACGCCCGAAAGAAAATTGAGTTTTTTCGTTTCTCATTTAAACAGATATTCAAATATGAAATAGGTACGAATATTAATGGAACTGCACATATCTTTGTTAGACACATAGAGTCTACTCAATTAGATGTATGAATTGCCAGTGTAAAAGAAATTGGAATACGAGTGTTACTGCAATTACACGTATAAAAATTGGAAGCAAAACAGTGCGGCGAACGAAAGAAGAATATTTAGTGATTGTTATAAAAATATTAATTCTGAATCTGATTATCATGACGTGTGATATGTAAAAGACAACAGCGGGCAGGTTTTATTGACAGGATGCAGCTTTGTGGGAAGCTCGACCGACTATCTCTTTACAGATAACGGATTGTAATTCTTTGTATTATATGTAGTTGTATCATAACAATGTGATATGCGGCGGTCAGCGTTTTTCTAGACGAAAGTATGATAACTATATATTTTTAAATATCTTTTTGTACAGTCTGATCGACAAAAAGTTTCAATATACATATACTAATACTGCGAACATTATCACTGTTGATCATCAATCTGGTCTTGTTAGTATTTACATATTAGAGGTGTGCGAGAATCCGGAAATATCGGAACGAGAATTCTTCTCGGGATCTGGGCGGGTTTTCGAAATTTTCGGGATTCACCAAAATGTTCGAGAGGTAATAATTACGTTATTTTATTTCAAATCTTCATGTAAAAAGGCTAATTATTACTTATTTCGAATATTATTTTCACCTCATTATTTTAACTTATATAACTTTGCAACGAAAAATTAAAAATGTGAATAAATTGACAAATTTCATAATGTGATTTTCGGGAACACTTAAAATATTGAAAATATCACATCACGATTGATTTTATTCGATCCTATAACGGTAATCAAGTTCTCGAAACTTTTGGGAATCCCAAACGTTTTCGGGGACCCCTCTATTTGCGAGTGCTCGTACATCTTTAGTATTTGTATAAATTGGTACACTGGTGCGACAATTAACATAGTATTTTAAGATCGCTTTTATACGATTCTTGATTGTACGAAACGCGAGTTTCGTTTAAGTAGCAATCTATAAGCGATTCAGTGTGTGAATTATTTATTAGCCCATTGCAGTATGGTCGGCACTTTTAAAGTAAAAAGAAGGAAATTGTGTATCGTTCGAATTTGTGTACATTATGTCATAGACCGACGAGCCTGTTATACTTTAATATCGAACTTTTTATATGTGCATAAATTTAGAGTAAGAACGGAACGTGATAAAAATGGATAAAGTAGAAATCATATTGACAATGCGGAAAAACGAATTGAAACAGTATATCAATGATGCCTATCTGTTTTTAGAAATAGATTTTTCTTTGTACACGAATAACAGTAACAAACTTACTGACACACTGACGTCTGTTCATATTTCATCGTATACATGTACATAAAGGAAACCATTTTAGAACAGAGAACATTAAGGATGTATTGACTATACAGTCAATCCTAATAGTTTATGTACT